GCCCAGGCTGGGCTAGAACTTTAGATCTTCCAGTCTTGACTTTTCAGAATGCTAGGGCTACAGAGGTGTGTCACCTTGCTTGGCTTAGCTTTTAAATTAGACATTGGCTAGTGCACTGGGTAAATCAGGGCTAAGTTTTCAAGCAACCAATGTATGAATGGGCTTTTAATAAGCTCTACTGATGAATCGGGAACCACTTTAAATCACTGATCAGCAAACACTAGACAATGCAAGCGAATCGTTTCTACTGCAAGACACTGTGAGCCCCTGAGTCTGGACAGCACCTGTAGTAATGTGGGGTAAGGTTTTGTTATTGTTGGGGCTGGGGATTTAGCTCAGCGGCATAAGCGCCTGCCTTGCAAGCAGGCAGTCGTGAGTTCGATCCCTGGTACCGAAAAAGACAAAAAAAAAAAGGTTTTGTTATTGTTATTTTTTTGGTGTTACTGAGAATTGAACTCATGACCTCATGCTTGCCAAGCAGGCGCTTATGCCACTGAGCTAAATCCCTGGGCCATGGGGTAAGGTTTTCAAGCAAAACAATTTTCTAGTTTCTAGAAGTTTCTCCTAAAATATAAAGCACATAAAACTATTTTAAGAGACTGTGAATCAGGCCCATGTCCATATGGTGCAGTTACCACACTTCTAAAGACAGAAACACTGAGAAATAAAAACCAAACCCCAGCAGCTTTTGACACTTAATGGATGCAGGCTCTCCTTTGTCTGAGCTGAGCCTCTCCACCCCAACACGCAGGCCCCTGGCAGCCCTATGGCTTTCTCATCTTCCCCTGCAGCCAAGGTGGGCCCTTCCTTCCTAACCTCTTCACCCCTAGAACCTTTTGGGTTGTAACAAGATGAAAAGAGGCTACCACAGAAGCACCTCAGTGTCACAGGCTGCAAAGACAGACCAGAACCAAAGTGTCCACTGGACTTGGACAGTAAGCTGCTGGTGTGCCTGGTGGACAGAGTTCTAGGAAGCAGGGGACAAAAATATTGCCCAAACCATGCAAAGTATGCGTACTTCTCAGGCTCCTAGAGGGACTCAGCACTCCCTAGAAGGCACAACACAGTAAGCCATGGTGTCTGTACGCACGGTTGTCATCCTGGCACTAGAGCAACTGAGACAGGAGGACTGCAGGTTAAAGGCCAATGTGGGCTACACAGCAAGATCCTGTCTCAAAACTAAAAGGACGGAAGGAAGGAGAAGGGAAACGAAAGGGCCCCAGGCAGCCTACATACACTGGGGACGTTAGTCCCATCTTCCTAGGGAGAAAGAGGCGACCCCAGAGTTGAGTGTGGAGTGACAAGAGGCCTTTCTCCTTCCTTCAGGGCTACCTCATTCCAACAGCTCTCCAGCCCCCAGGTAAAAAGGAGGCTCCCTGCTGGCCATACCGCTCTAGCATTCACTTGTAAGGTACTATCCTAGGGATTAAAAAGGTAAAAAGACCACTGCCATAGCAGAGAAGGAACTACAGAAGAAACTGCCAGTTCAAGGTAAAGAACGGTAGCTCCCAAAGAGCCTAAAGGCCAGCACTGGCATTATTCTAAGTTGCGCGGAATCACAGGAAGTAACAGGTGAACCCAAGGGAATCCATACCTCTACCGCCCAGTGATCCAGACACTTCCGCCCTCCAGACCCACACATCCATGTCCATCTCTCCCCCAACTACGCTCAATTCCTGCATCCTCCACCTCCCACAAGACTACTGATAATCTGTCTACAATTTAGCCTTTTCTTTTTCTTTTTTACCAGTTCAGTTCTGATTCCAATTTTAGCCTTTCTTTCATTCTCTCCTTTCCTTTTTTTTCTTTCTTGTTTGTTTTATTTTTTAAACAGGGTCTCACCATGTAGCTCAAGCTGGTCTTGAACTTGTGGCAATCCTCTTGCCTCTGTGTCCTGAGTGCTGAGGTTATAGGCATCTATCACTGCCCTTAGCTTCAATGTTTCTTTTGGAAGAATTTGCAACATATATCTATTTCTACATTAGGAACAATGTTTCCCACAGCTATAGTCCTAGCCTAGTTTCCTTGCAAACATCAAGAAGAGGGAGGATGCAGGAAAAACCCAAAATGTTCCCCCAGAAAACTGAAGTGAAAGAAAAAAGGCTGGGAATTTAAAGCTATTTTATTTAATCACTTGCTAAATAAAGTACAAACATTCAGAGACCTTTCTTATGGCAAGGGAAAATTCAAAGATACAAAGGGAAACCAAAAAGAGTCTCAGTACTCAGGGGAGCTATCCAAGTGTGTCAGAAGGCAGGTGATATTTGGCAGGATGCTATCACTGGAAACAAAGTGGGGGAGGGGCGGCTTTTACTCTGTGAGGGGCTTCCCAGAGTTTGATTCACATATTGTTGTTCCTAGGTCTTTGAATCAATCTCTGTTAGCTAATGTGTAAGATGGTAGTAATATGCAATTCACAGGGTGGTCCAGAGATTCACAAAATATTGGAGAGAAGTAATTCTCAGTCAAGTTTAAATTCTTGCCAAGTGGCACATGATAGCAGCATGCTGTCATTGTCACAGGATGGTTAGCAAACTCAACACCTCACAGACCCTTGGCCCTGGTCCCAAGACCTTGCAAGTGCCTGGAGGTGGCTAAATAATGGCAGGATGGGGGCTCTTAACTCTTTCCTGGGTGACAACAGCTGGTTAGCTCTACAATTTTCATTTTATCATCAGCTGCAGATGGGTTTTCAGAAGAATTCCAGTGTCTCTGTCATAGGAGAACATCCCTGAGCTGGCAGAATTGATTTTCCTTGATTTTTTTCTGAATGCATCTTACCCTGACCTCCCAGGAATCCTTAGCTCTCCATGTCTTGGTCATTCAGAACTTTCTCCAATTATCACTCATCAAAATTCTCCCACCTGGAAAGGTAACTCAGTGGCAGAGCACATGTATAAGGAACATTCTGGGCTCAATTCCTAGCATCAAGAAGAAAAAGAAAATTCCCTAGAGTCCTTAGAGATTATCAGATCTAATGACTCTGACACAAACAAACCTAATATATCTCTTTAATAAAGAGTATCAGAGAATAGTTTTAAAATAAGAGACCTAGGGCCAGGGATATAGCTCAGTGGTACAGCATCTGCCTGGCAAATGCACAGTTCTGAGTTTGATCCCTGGTACCAACAACTACAACCACCATAAAATAAAGAGACCTGGACCAGGGGTATGGCTCAGAGCTGGTGTGCATTACCTACAATTCATGAGCTGGGTGCACTGTAAATCAATCGACTAATCAATCACAACAGAATAAAGCAGGAGGACTTTTTTCTTTTTTTGTGGTAAAGACAGGTAAGAATCGATGGATGTTGAAAGTACACTGGCTTAGGGGCCAGGGGTTTAGCTCAGTGGCATAAGCGCCTGCCTGGCAAGCACACGGTCATGAGTTCGATCCCCGGTACCAAGCAGAAAAAAAGAAAAGTTTTGGGGCTGGGGATTTAGCTCCAAAACTTAATAACGATAAACACACACACACACACACACACACACACACACACACACACACACGAAAGTACACTGGCTTCAGCATAAAGAAACAGCTTTAGCAACTTCAGTGCTTCACACTAGAAAACAAGCCAGCCATTGTGGCACACCTGTATGTAATTCCAGCTACTGAACAGGCTGAGACAAGGGAATAGTCACTCAGAGCCCAGCCTGGACAATTTGGCAAGACTCAGCTTCAAAACAAAAAAACTAAACACAAAAGGGCTGGGGATGTAGCTCAATGCAAGGGCCCTGGGTTCAATCCCCAGCCCTCCCTCTCCAAATCAAACCAAATGAAACAAACCAAAAACGTAAACACTATTTTTAAGACTGGTAACTAAGATCATTCAAGTATTTTTGTATGTGTGTCAAGTAAAGGCCAGACCCTGCTATGTATCTGTGGTAAGGCAGCAAGGGCTTTGGTCTGGTCCTTTAAGCAGAAGGCATTCTAACCACATGGGTCACAAGGTGAAGGGGAACAAGGGTCTAGAGGATCCTGAATATCAGCATTCCTCAAACATGCCACCTTTGTCCCCCAAGAGCCCACAGTAAGGATGGGGGACTAGCATGCATCTGTAAAACTCGGTGGCACCCTGGATGAGCTTGGCAAACATCTGTTACACCTATTAAGAACACAACAGGGGCCAAAGGGTATGGTATACACGTGAGCGTGAGCGGTTAGAGCAGCTTGCTCAGGTGAAGCGCCTACAAAGGTTACCTGAAAGAAATAATCCTGACTTGGCTGCCTGGGAAGGAGTGAGGGGCTGGTGTGGAAAGAATAACATTCTTGGCCAAGTCACAGCAGGTTACTGTGGGTACATTTTATACAGAAAAAGAAAGGCAACTGAACTGAAAGGGCTGGGATGGGAAAAACTGTTGTCTTTCATGTCTAGCATCTATCCAAAATAAGAACTTCAGATTTGAATTCTACCTAGAACTGAGGACAGAATTTGGACATCAAAGAGGTCAATCCTAAACAGCCATAAGGTTGGGGATCTTACTAGGTTCCTGAAGCTCAGATTTTTGCAATGTCTGCTTTAGTGAACTCTAATGGCACAAGTGGTAAACAATGAAGCCAGCTCACTGTAGTCACGACCCTCATGTGAGCAACTTGAAAATAGGTCCCCTGTTAATAAACAGTCCTTTACTGGTGACATCTTTTGTCCTTATTTCCCTCCCCAATCGCATTTCTTTCTTTGGAGGGAAAAAGCTATCACTGAACGCCCACTTCATTTTCTGTAAATCTTTCTATGGTGGGCTGTGGGCGGCAGCAGGCAGGGAGGACGACAGAAGAAAGGGGTGTGAAAAAGGTCTGGCTCCGCGATCTGTTCCCAAAGGGAGTGTGCCCACTATCAACACAACGAAAAACACCAAAACTAAACAGTCTGCGGATCCGCCGCGCTCGCACCCCCGCCGCGCGGAGGCCAACAGGTGCCTGCGGGCCCCGCAGCCCCGCAGCCCGGGGTCGCCGCCCAGAGCCCGCCCGCGCGGCTGTCGCGGCCGCTCGTACTCACCGCCGTCGGCGGTCCGCGCCCCAACCCGCAGCGCCCATCCGGCCCGGGCCTCAGTCGGCGCGGGCTCCGCTCTCAGGCGGCCCTGGAGCGGCTCGGGGCGCGTTGCGGCCGTTGGCGCCTCGGCAGGGTGCGAGGCATCCTCCCGCCACCGCCCCGCGGGCCGCCTGCCCTTTGTTTTGGAGCCGCGGCCCGGCCCAGTTGCCGTCAGTGGCCTCGGAACGCGGCAGCGGCCAATCAGCGCGTCTCTCCGCCCCTTCCCCGCCCCCGCCCCGCCCTTATCGCGCGCACCCGCCCCGCGCGCTCCGCGCCACAGGCCCGGCTCGCTCCCACCAGGCCGGGTGGGGCTGGGTGCACGTGCCGCGGGGCGCGCCACACTCCCATTGGCTGGCCGGTAGGGCGCGGCCTCGGAGCCAGCCTGTGAAGGCCGAGGTACCGGGGACGGGGCCGCGCGCCGGGCTGGGCGCGGGGCGGGCTCAGCGAGGAGTACCGCACGCAGGCGCAGGTTGGCCCGGAGACGGCGCTCTGCCAGGCCAGCCTGCCTCTCCTGTGTAGGGGGCGTCTGCGCCCCAGGAACCGCTCGGGTTCTAGACTCGGGACGTGTGGCGAGCGCAGGACGTGCTGGACTTGAACCGGCAGGGCTTGTGGGGGAGGCGCTCAGTGTCCCGGCACAGTGTGTGTCCACCCTGTAAGCGCTGGCGGGCGCGTTCCCAGGGCGCCGGCGAAAGGGCGCGGTTCCCCAGAGTGCGGGGTCGTCCTCACGGTCCCACCTCGACCACCCTCTCGGGACCCTCGAAGCCACTCTGCGACCCACTTACACGTGAGAACCTTCAGCTCTGCACCTGGACCCTACCTCTGCTCCAGAGCCCCAAATCCGACCAGCAGGAGCCCACTGGGCAGCCCACGGCCTCCCCTGCATGCCTCAGTTGTCATTTACATTGCACAATTTAAAAACTCACTGTTGAGGTCACAATGTATATAACATTTTTATACATGCTAGCGTCCTCAGGGTGTTGCAATGCATTGTATTTGTGAAGGTCTCTGTGTAGCTGGCTGCACACCTGAGTCATTATTTAGATTAGGGCTGATAGCCTGTTACACAATCGTCATTTCTTTTTTTTTTTTTTTTTTTTTTTTTTTTTGGTATTTTTCGTTTTTATCGGTACCAGGGATCAAACTCACGACTGCCTGCTTGCAAGGCAGGCGCTTATGCCGCTGAGCTAAATTCCCAGCCCCACAATCGTCATTTCTTTAGCGATTCTTCCTACTGTTCCCCAATTCTCTGCTTCCACAAACCTTTCTCCCTCCTCATCTACTTCTCCCTATTTCCCTTTTTTTACTCCCATCTCCACTCCACTGGAGACTGAGACCATGAGTCCTGAAACGCTGAACTACATCCTCAGAGTGTTTTGTTTGGTTTTTAGTTGTTTTGTTTTTTTGAGACATGTAGCATTCCAGACTGGCCTTCAATTTACAACAATCCTCTTGCCTCAGCCTTTGGAGTGCTGGGATTACAGGTATGGGTCATTGCCCAGCTATTGTTTTGTTTTGTTTCTGATACATGGTGTCATTAATTGCCCAAGCTGGCCTCAAACCTTGGAATACACTGGGTTAGGCTGCTTCCATTCTGTTAAATGTTAAGCTATTTATATATACATGTTTTTCCTATTGCAAATATCTTTTCTCAGCCTGTCCTCCGTTGGAAATAAATCCTAATTTTGATGTCAATCAAAGCGTGTGTGTGTGTGTGTGTGTGTGTGTGTGTGTGTGCGTGTGCGTGATTTTTTTTCCTGTGGTGCTTGAATGGCCTGGCACTTGCTAGGAACTGTTCTGCCACTGAGCTGCGCCCCAGTCTACTATATAGGTTTATGTCCTGCTTTTTGAAAGGCATTTCTTCATGTAGTCTTTAACATATTTTTTGGTGAGTGCATATTTTATTTTATTTTATTTTTTGTCTTTTTCGTTTTTATCGGTCCCAGGGATCGAACTCACGACTGCCTGCTTGCAAGGCAGGCGCTTATGCCGCTGAGCTAAATCCCCAGCCCCGGTGAGTGCATATTAAAATTAACATGCATAACTAGCTGGTTACGTGTAGTGGTTTGGACACTTAGATTTCTGTCCTATTTCTGCAGGCCCCTAGCTAGAAAATTTTAGTACCAGACTACCATTCTGTGTTATGGTTCCTAGCATCATTCTTAGAGAATTATTGTACTTTATTTATTTATTTTTATTGCTAGTGGTGCCAGGGATGGAACTCAAAACCTCACACTTGTCAGGCACGTACTTACGCTACTGAGCTAAGTGCCCAGCCATCCCAGGGTTCTCTTAGAGTCTACATGTCATGAAGTATAGATGGCCCTTCTAGTGTCTTGCCTGTCACCTCCATAGCACCTCTCCTGTAAGAGGTCTTTGGTATGACCCCCAATATTTACCCCTTACTGACCAGAACCTTTCAGATTTTTCCAATTTTATATAATATATTTGGAGGGCTGGGGATTTAGCTCAGTGGCATAAGCACCTGTCTTGCAAGCAGGCGGTCACGAGTTCAATCCAGTACCAGTTAAAAAAAATATATATATATATATATTTGGGGGGGGTGTTTGTTTTTTTGATACCAGGGTTTGAACTCACAACCTCATGCTTGCCAGGCAGGTGCTTATGCCGCTGAGCTAAATCCCCAGCAATTTTATATAATAAAGTACAAATATATAATTTACCATTTTACTCACATTAAGTGTACAACTTAGTGATACTTATACACTTAATGTTGTGCAACTATCACCACACTCATCTGAAGAGCTCTTCATCTGTATAATCTCCATTCTATTAAACATTAACTGTGTAACCCACTGCCCCAGCCGATGGCAAATGCCAGTCTATGATTCTGACTATGTACTTCGTATAAATAGAGACATGCAGTATTTGTCTTTGCTGTGACTGGCTTGTTTCACTCATAATGTTTTCAAAGTTCTTCCATACTGTAGCATGTGCTAGAATTTCATTCCTCCCTAGAGCTGAATATTCCATTGGGTGTATTCTTCTGTCAAGCTATTTCTACCTTCTGATTATTGTGAATAATGGGTATAAGAATTATGAACATGGGTTTAAGAATTATCTGCTCAAGGGGCTCTAGCTCAGTGGCATAAGCACCTGCCTTGCAAGCAGACAGTCGTGAGTTCGATCCCCAGTACCGATAAAAATGAAAAAGACAAAAAAAAAAAAAAAAAAAAAAAAGAATATCTGCTCAAAACTGTGCTTGAAATGCTCTGGGGTATATACTCTGAAGCAGCACATGTATCAGAAAGTGGGTACACTATTTTATATTCTTGCCAACACTGAACAAGTGTTCCAGTTTCTTCATATCCTCACCAATTTTTTGTTTTTTTGATAGTCCCCATCCTATTGGTTGTAACATGGTCTCTCATTGTCATTTCAGTAATTAGTGAATTGAGTATTTTGTGTGTGTGTGTACTTATTGGCCTTAAATATTTTTAATGTGAACAACACTGCCCTATTATATCTCATATGTGTAATGTTTGTATGTTTCTCTTTGGGTTGATAAAAACATTTTGGAAATAGTAGGGTGGTTACACAACAACGTAAATGTACTTAATGGCAATGAATAATACATTTAAAATGGGTAAAAATGGTAAATTCTGTGTTAAGGTTTAGTATTCTTAATCTCATTTTTTTACTTAAAGTACAGATTCTTGCATATATTGAGATGAACATTCCCTGGTTGTACTTTGTCGATAGTTTTCTCATTGCTACCATTATTAATTTAATTGTCGCAGGCATTACCCATAGATCCATTTGTCAGCTGGAAATTCTGCTTCATTCCATTAACAATGCATAATTTTGAGCAAATTGAAAAGCCTATATCAATAATAATTTGTTAATATGTTGCCTTCTTAAAACTAATTACAATAAAAATCATATTCTTATACATAGAAAAGAATGGTGACTGAGGACACACCACAAAAATGGGTAAAAGTTCTTTTTTAAATTTAATTTTATTTTTTTTAAAGTTCTTTTTCCCCCTAAACTTTTATACTTTTCTGATATACTTTTGGGGCTATAATTTATTAAATAGTGTTTTCTTTTAAAACAAAATAATGCCAAGAAGTTTTTGTACCTATTTAGGAATACTGTAAAAATATTAATTAATTTGTTATTAATACAAAAGTGAATTGAGTAAATATTTGACCATACTGATGTTCTTGTTACCTAAAAACTTGAATGTAAAATGTTATATAAATCTGAGATTTTATCATCAACTTTAAAATATGAACAGAAGTTCATGAAAAGAAAGGTTTGTGCTAGTGTTGTTGAATAATTAAATGTAGATCAGGCTGGGGATATAGTTCAGTGGTACAGTGCCTGCCTGGCAAGTGCAAGGTCTTGTGTTTAATTCCTGGTACAAAAAAAAGTAAATGCAGAAATGTACTCTGAGTAACTGATTTGAAGATAACAATACACAATGTAGGGCTGGGGATTTAGCTTGGTGGCATAAGCACCTGCCTGTCAAGCGTTAGGTAGTGAGTTTGATCCTGGAAACCAAACAACCCCAAAAAACAACAACAAAAAAACCCCATAATATATACATCACTGTTAACCCCTAATTATTGTGATTTAAAATTTTGTTTCATTTTTAACTTTAAAGTGAAAGCAAAAAATAAATAGATTTGAAAAAATAAAACATGAACTGAAGTATTTTATCATATTTAGAAAAAAAAATAAAAATCATTTTCTTAAAAAAAGACTCCTCTGGGGCTGGGGATTTAGCTCAGTGGCTTAAGTGCCTGCCTGGCAAGCCCAAGAACGTGAGTTCGATCCCTGGTACCAAAAACAAAAAACAAAACCTACACTACATGGCAAAACTCTGTCTCAAAAAATGAAACAACAAACAAAAATAAAGTTTGTGTTTAGATTTGGGAAGGTATTCCCTTCCAAGATAGCTTACTACATAAATGCAAATATTCCCAAAATAATTTATATTTTTTTTCCAAAATACTTCTGACCCCAAACATTTTGGATAAGGGATATGCAAACTGTGTATATTTTATCACCATACAAAATAATTTACACCCGGTACAGTGGCACACACATGTGTTACAAGCTACTCAGGAGGCTGAGGCAAAGAGACTGCAAGTTGGAGCCCAGCCCGGGCAACTTAGTGAGGGCCTGTCTCAAAAAATAAAATGGGCTGGGGGTGTGGCT